CATCCTTTGTTCAGCTCACAGTGGACCACCTCTGGTGTGCTGCCCAGTGTCCCAGCGCCCAGTGCAGAGGCCCACTTAGGCCAGGAGAAAGGTGAACCAAGCATGGTCCCCTTTGGCCCCTCCTCCCCGGCCTGCAGCTTTGCCCACATGCATCATACTAAGTGTGCTTCATATGTGGGGTGGGAGGGGCAGAGCCTGTTTTTTCCACATGAAAGTGAAGTCCCTATATAGCTTATGTCCACGCAAATGCCTCAACAATTTATATACAAGAAGCTTTACTTGAGGCATGCGAGAACTCCCTTTCTCTGTATCTTTACTTCTGAAAAGGAAGCAAAAAAACGGGGAGGAGGGAGAGGAAGCAAAAGTAGTTCAATTAAAGTATGACTCCTTTCTGCTGCCTGCAAATGGATCAGTCAGGGAAGAATATATTCTCTTATCTAAGCTAAAGAAGGTGACCCTGAATATAATTTTTTTCTCCTTGGATACATAATATTACTAAAACTACATATACATAGAATTAGCCTTCTTTTTGTGCTACATTAAAATGATAGCTCTTAAAGAGAAAGACTGAAGAATCTGTTTAGGGCAGAATAAATGTTATGGAATGAATGTATTTCTCCAGATTGCTTAATTATCCACAGAAACTACAGAGGCTTCTCTAGGTGACTAAATCTTGGCTCACATCAGTAGAGCTGGGCTGAAGTGAAGGAAATGATCCGAAGCCTTTGCCATTCCAGTCTCACAAAGCTGGGAGCCCCCAGCGTATAATTGGCTACGGTGAGGATGAAACAACGGAGCAGTGGGCTGCAGTGTGTCTCATTCTAACCAGCTTGTTTAGTAAAGAAAAAAAACTAGAGCTAAAAAGTGTTTTGCTTAGGTGAAGAGATTATTTTCAAATAGAGAAAAGTAGCTTGCTTAAGTGAAGAGTTTATTTTCATATGGGACTATATTTAATATAAGGGCAAGCAGTTCCAAAGCAATGAGGGGTAAGTTCAGAGCTCACCAACTACATTCACGATGATAAACGTCTTCCAGGGTCCTGTGGAAAGCAGAGGGCCCCCATCACTCAGATACTCTGACAGAGGAAAGGACCCATACTGAGTAAAACTAAGTTCTTCTCATGATGTGAACTTAATTCAGAAAAATATGTGAATTATGGTACAGGTGTAGCAGAAATAAACATGATTTATACAAAATGAGAAAATGGAAAGCTAAAAAGTTACACAGATTTGGGAAACATGTAAATTAACTTGATTCGACTTCATCCAATAAGGTGACATTAGTAGAGCAGCTAAATTAAAATTCTCTTAGCTGTAATCAAAATCTCTAATTCTATGGCATTATAAAAATTGCCTTAATAAGAAATTAGAATCAGAATTTTTTAAATGCTACTTACATAATTAAATTACAAAAATGAAAATGTGTAAATGCTAAATGTGAGGAAATAGATGAAGTAGTTCTCTTCTCCCAAGGGTTTTAATATTTCTCAAAAAAGAGTATTTCTTTCCTTTCCCTCTGTACTCTTTCTCACAGGGCCGTTTAAACAGTGTGTAATTGTTTCCTAGGAATTTCATAAGAATCTTCCATTAGCAGAACTATAAAACAGCTTATGTATTTCCCTTTAATTTCTTAAATGATAAAATGGGATTTATTTTACTGGCATTTGAGGTATAAATGAGAAACAAATGAACATAGTAATTCGTGTCCTTCATAAGTTTGTTTTTCACATTTTAATTGTTAACATTTTTCCATGCGATATACATCTTTTGGGGGAATCGTTTGGCCATTTGGTTGCCTCTCAATTATCTTTCCTTGGTGGTTTTGTTCTGAATTGCAGAAATAAGACTTTACAGCTAATATGCACATTTTCTTTTTTTCTTTTTTATATTTTATTTATTTATTTATTTATTTATTTATTTTTGTGTGAGGAAGATCAGCCCTGAGCTAACATCCATGCTAATCCTCCTCTTTTTTTTCGCTGAGGAAGACCGGCTCTGAGCTAACATCTATTCCCAATCCTCCTCCTTTTTTTCCCCCAAAGCCCCAGTAGATAGTTGTATGTCATAGTTGCACATCCTTCTAGTTGCTGTATGTGGGATGCGGCCTCAGCATGGCCGGAGAAGTGGTGCGTCGGTGCGCGCCCGGGATCTGAACCCGGGCCGCCAGTAGTGGAGCGCACACGCTTAACTGCTAAGCCACGGGGCTGGCCCCACATGTTCTTTCTTATCAGTGTCGAAGAGCTATATTACCGATATTTCAGGGGTTTAAGCAATATTATAACAGTTGTGTCCCAGAAGTAGACTTTTCTAATTAGTAAGATTAAATTTTACCTGGACCTTGTTTTTCAGAATATTTTATTTACTCCTTGAAAATTTTTACATTCTCCAATGTCATATAATGCAATGAAGGTAAAATAAATTCAGTTAGGTAGTGTTTCATCTTAGAAATGCTAAATAGATTATATTTTAAATCATTTTGATGGACTTCATGATAAAATAGTAAAAGTAGTTGATTGGATATTATTTTGAGGCCAGGCTTTTTTTATTCCCAAAGATTTCTTTAGCGAAGTTCGCGTGTTTTAAATAAAGTAATCAGAAATTCTTATGTAGGGGCTTCCTGCATTGGAGAAAACAGCACATGTCTAACAAATTTAAAGATTTTTTTCAGCACATCAATGCATCTGTCTTTTCACAACCATCTGTTATCTGGCAGCACCATCTCTTATTTCCAGCAAGCTTTTCACGTGTGCACAACTTACTGCCATTTCCACTAAGGGTAATAGAGCAATAAAACCCTTTCAGCTCTCAAGTCTTAAAATAAATAGCCTTTTAATGAGACTTTTAAAAGCATCATTATTAGCAGATTCTACATAATTTTCCAAGCAATACATAATGTACGTTGCATTAGAATGTTAATTTGCTCATCTGAGTGGTAAAAGAGGTCCTCTGAGGTGATGATAATGGAGCTGAAAGTGTTCCTTGAATAATATTTCTGTGTTTCTGTGTATTGTTCTGTGGTCATGATGTCAACATCTTTTTCATCCCTAAGAAGAAGAAATGCTAGAGGGTCCAATGCCTGAGGAAGAGAAACCTGCCACTCTTCCTGAGAAAGAGTGTGGGGCAGCCAAGGCCTCAGACCAACCCAAGGGCCTCAGTGGGGGCCAGCTGGAGTCTAGTGCGGAGGCCCCAGTAGTTCCCGAAGAGAGTGCCCCAGCAGGGGTCCCAGAGGAGAAAAGTGTAAAAGAGGTCACCGAGGTGCCTCCAGAAGTAAAAATCCCTTCCTCTGCCGGGGAAGGTGTGTCTCTCATGGGATTTGCATGTATTTTGTTGCCAATGGTCTCTCCAGCAGCTTACCAATGATGCCTTTCCAATGCTATTCCATCGCTCCGTCTTCTCATTAGGCTTAACGAGCAGAGAGTGTGGCTTGTGCTGGTGCTGTGTGGCAGCTTGGTTTTCCACCACTGCAGCCGATTCCTGGTTTTACTTTGCTGTGATACAATATGCTTTGCAGCCAGGTTGTGATGCTGTGTGAGCTTTCTTTCCGCCCCCCTCATTTCAAATGTTTGCCAGTCACATTGCTAATACATGTATATTTTTCTTTTTCTTTTTGGGACAGCAATTCATGTGCTTTTCTTTCAAATCATAGAGTTGGATTCTGGCACATAGAGCCTTAAATGGTAGAGACGTTTTTGTTTGCAACCGCAATGTGCTGTATTTTTTATGCTTCGATGAATACTGGTTTGGTTTCCTTAAAAGCTCCTGCTGGTGCTTCTCATATCATTTCCTCTCCATGACAGCCAACCCCTTTGATCATCCCCATATCTCTTGAGTTTTCATTCATCTAACCTTTATTAGAAGTTCATAAATTATTTCTTTTCTGTTGTTACAACAGGACACACAAGTATATAAGGTAATGATGATCCATACACTTGCTCTTCGAGAGATGATTGAATTGTCTTATTTTCCCCCAAGTCTTTTCCAAATAATTACATTTAGCCCTAATGACCACAATGAATTACCTTTGGCCTTAAAACACAAGTGAAACTATGAAGCCTTTTGGGTTGGCGAATAAATAAAAATAAGAAAGAGTCATTTAATTTCTGTAGAGCATCTCTAAAGCCAGTAATGATCAGTGCTTCACCCGTCAGTCGTGTTTCAGGGAATGAGGTCATGACCAAGGAGAGAAAGATATTTTGATAACTGACTCTTTTAAAAATTTTGTTGCTCATATGACATCCTAGTATTAACAGTATAATTCAGATTTTCTTACATCTATCATACAGACTAAGTAATGACTAGGAATTAAGAATTTTGAATATGTGGTAGAAATTGACTCTTTAATTCTTAGATCATATCATATAAAGTCAATGGCAAATATTTATTTATGTTCCTGAAATTTAATCTCAGATGACTTCTAAAAATTTATGCCAGTAACCTTTCAATGCCCTAAAAATTGGTCCTGGCATTTGTTGATCAAGTTAATTGAAACTGTTAACACTTATTATAAATTAATTGGCCTTTTGCCCATGGCCTGCCAATTCACTTTAAAATGAGAAAACAAATGAAAAAGTTCAATAGAAATCAACCCTTTTCCATATTGAGTCCTTAATATGTCTTCTTTTGTACCCTAATGTTAAGTACTTATTCAATATTCTTTAATTTATAATTTTTATCTGTAGAAGGCACATGAAATTTCTACTATAAAACATGTGACATACTATTTAGGAGAGACCAAACAAAGGAAAAAAGAGTATTCAGAATATACTCTTATTACAATTCCTGTACCCGTTAGTTCACAGTGGGAGTTCATTTTAGCAATCGTACAAATGTGTCTCAGTCCTGACATTTTCATATTGATTTTTAAGTGGGTAGCATGTTTGCATGTTCCATAGTTTTTCATTTTACCCTACCGTTCATTTGTCATTTCAAAATATAATTTTAAGCTTACTGCCTGAAAGCCCTTGCCTATTATTTGTTTAAAAATCAACCCAATTACTTCAGGTTTACTTACAGCCTCGACGATGGAGTTCCATGATCAACAGGAATTGACTCCCTCTGCAGCTGAGCCACTGGACAAGAAGGAAGAGGAGTCAGAGAAACAAAGCAAGCCTGGCGAAGACCTTGAACATGCTGCCTTAGTTTCTCCGCCTGAGACAACTGACACTTCTCCTGATAAAAAGGACATGCAAGGCACAGAAGAAGAAAAAGCACCTCCCAGTCTGTTTGGGCACCCTCTTGGTGCCAGCCTGGAAGACATGAAACAGAAGACAGAACCAAGCCTGGTGGTCCCTGGTATTGGCCTCCCAGCACAGCCTCCAGCTCCAAAAGAGCAAAAGGACTGGTTCATCGAAATGCCAATAGAAGCAAAAAAGGATGAGTGGGGTTTAGCTGCTCCAATATCTCCTGGCCCCCTAACACCCATGAAGGAAAAAGATGTACTTGACGATATCCCCAAATGGGAAGGGAAACAATTTGATTCTCCCATGCCGAGTCCCTTTCAGGGGGGAAGCTTCAGTCTTCCTCTGGATGTCATGAAGCATGAAATCGTTGCAGAAGCAACACCCTTTGCCCCTGCCCTATTACAGCCAGATGACAAAAAATCTCTAGAAGAAACCAGTGGCTCAGCAACTGCCAAAGATAGTTCTACAGTTGAAGAGCCCCATAAGGATAAACCTGACAAAATGGCAGAAGCACCAGCCTCAGAGGCAATCACCCCACCCGAAGATGCTCACATTCCAGTTGTGGATGAATGTGTCCCAGAGAAAGTTTTAGGGGAAGAAAAAGAGGAGATAAAGCAAGACAGTGTGCCGAAAAAAGAGACTTCCATCCTCAGTGCACAGGAACCTACACTTACTGAAAAGGAACCTCAGCTAACACTTGAACAAAAAACAACCATTTCTGACAAAGCAGCCACGCCAAAAGAGAGTGAACCCCCAGAAGTGACAGATGAAGAAACAAGCATACTTCAGCCCTCCACAGAGCACACTTTCTCAAAAGAAGAACAGAAGAGCCAAGAACCTACCACAGACATATTAAAACAGGACTCATTCCCTGTAAGCCTGGAGCGAGCTATTACAGATTCAGCCATGACCTCTAAGACACCAGAGAAAGTCATCACCGAACCAGCTGCACTAAGTGAAAAGAGTGATACCCAGGACCTTTTTGAGGAAAAAGTTACTGACGAAGATAAAAAGGTTGAAGGAGTTGGCGCTGCAGCATCAGCTGAGATGGAAATGCCATTTTATGAAGATAAGTCAGGAATGTCCAAGTACTTTGAAACATCTGCCTTGAAAGAAGAAGTGACAAAAAGCATCCAACCAGGCAGTGATTACTATGAACTGAGTGACGCAAGAGAAAGCGCCCCAGAGTCTTTTGATACTGTATCTCCCGTGTATAAAAATGGCGACAAGGCACTTCAGGCAGCGAAAGAATCCCAGCCCAGTGCTCCAGCACAAGAAGCAGGCTATAGCACTCTCGCACAGAGTTATCCATCTGATTTACCTGAAGAGCCCAGTTCTCCTCAAGAAAGGATGTTCACTATTGATCCGAAAGTGTATGGGGAGAAAAGGGATCTCCACAGTAAGAATAAGGATGATTTGACACTAAGCAGGAGTTTAGGACTTGGAGGTAGGTCCGCAATAGAACAAAGAAGCATGTCAATCAATTTGCCCATGTCTTGCCTGGATTCCATAGCCCTTGGATTTAACTTTGGTCGGGGGCATGATCTTTCTCCTCTGGCTTCTGATATTCTAACCAACACTAGTGGAAGTATGGATGAAGGGGATGATTACCTTCCAGCCACAACACCTGCATTGGAGAAAGCCCCTTGCTTCCCAATAGAAAGCAAAGAGGAAGAAAAACAGGTAGAGGCTGAAAAAGCTACCGGAGAGGAAAGTACTCAAGTAGAGGCATCATGTGAGTCACCTTTCCTAGCCAAAGATTATTACAAAAATGGTACTGTCATGGCCCCCGACCTGCCTGAAATGCTAGATCTGGCAGGAACAAGGTCAAGATTAGCTTCCGTGAGTGCAGATGCTGAGGTGGCCAGGAGGAAATCAGTCCCGTCAGAGACTGTGGTTGAGGAGAGTAGCACTGGCTTGCCCCCTGTCACTGATGAAAACCACGTCATTGTTAAAACGGACAGTCAGCTCGAAGACTTGGGCTACTGTGTGTTCAATAAGTACACGGTCCCACTGCCATCACCTGTTCAAGACAGTGAGAATTTATCTGGGGAGAGTGGTTCCTTTTATGAAGGCACTGATGATAAAGTGCGAAGAGATTTGGCCACAGACCTTTCATTGATTGAAGTAAAACTGGCAGCTGCCGGAAGAGTAAAAGATGAGTTCAGTGCTGAGAAAGAGGCACCACCACATATCCCTGGAGACAAATTGGGACTGGGTAGGGAATTGGATCAGGAGAGGAGAGCTAATGATAAGCTGGATACTGTACTAGAAAAAAGTGAAGAACATGCTGATTCAAAAGAACATGCCAAGGAAACAGAAGAGGCTGGTGATAAAATCGAACCATTTGGAGTAGACGTAACCCACGAGCATGCTCTGGCCAAAGAACTGACAGTATCAAAAGATGCATCACCTCTTGTGGCTGAGAAAGCAGAGAAAGGTCTCAGTTCAGTGCCAGAGGTAGCTGAGGTAGAACCATCCAAAAAAGCTGAACCAGAACTGGATTTTGCTGCAAAGAAAGCTGACCAGGGTCCGTTAGATGTTAAAATCAGTGACTTTGGACAGATGGCTGCAGGGCTAACCATAGATGCTGGAAAAGCAGTAGAGCTTAAACCTGAAGCTACACGGGACCTGACTCCCCCGTCCGCAGCCCCTCAGGAGGCAGAGGCATTCCTGGGCGTTGAGTCTGGCCACTTGAAAGAAGGCGCCAAAGTCAGTGAGACGGAAGTCAAGGAGAAGGTGAGCAAGCCTGACTTGGTGCACCAGGAAGCTGTAGACAAGGAAGAGTCCTACGAGTCCAGCGGTGAGCATGAAAGTCTCACCATGGAGTCCTTGAAAGCCGATGAGGGCAAGAAGGAAACGTCCCCGGAGTCTTCTCTAATTCAAGACGAGATTGCCATCAAATTGTCAGTAGAAATACCTCGTGCACCCGCTGCTTCAGAGGCTGACGTAGCTCCAGGGGAGAGAGCTGATGTCCAGATGGAATTTATCCAGCTGCCAAAAGAAGAAAGCAAAGAGACCCCAGACATATCTGGTACGCCCTCTGACATGACAGAGCCACTGCCCGAAGCCGTGGCCCCTGAACCAGCGGGGGCTCAGAGCGAGGAAGAAGAGATAGAAGCCCAGGGAGAATACGATAAACTGCTCTTCCGCTCAGACACCCTTCAGATTACCGACCTGGGTGTCCCGGGTGTCCGGGAGGAATTTGTGGAGACCTGCCCAGGGGAACACAAGGGAGTGATCGAGTCCGTTGTAACCATCGAGGACGATTTCATCACTGTGGTGCAAACCACGACCGACGAAGGGGAGTCAGGTTCCCACAGCGTGCGTTTCGCAGCTCTCGAGCAGCCGGAGGTGGAAAGGAGACCGTCCCCTCGTGCCGAAGAAGAGCTCCAAGTGGAAGAGGCAGCTGAAGCCCAGGCAGAACCCAAGGACGGCTCCCCAGAGGCTCCGGCTTCCCCTGAGAGAGAAGAGGTTGCTCTCTCAGAATACAAGACAGAAACCTATGACGATTACAAAGACGAGACCACCATTGATGACTCCATCATGGATGCGGACAGCCTCTGGGTGGACACTCAAGGTGTGCATTATTTTTTTAAATTTTCTACCCCCAAATAAAATCCAATAACCTAATGGAAAAATTTTTTTCATTTTAAACATTTTTAAATGTCCCCTTTCTCTTTAATTTGCGTTTTGTGAAATAGATGCGGGATTGTGTACATTTGTTACTAATATTTCCGTGTTGTTGTTGTTGTCATGGTTTGCTTCGATCCACAGATGATGATAGGAGCGTCATGACAGAACAGTTAGAAACTATTCCTAAAGAGGAGAAGGCTGAAAAGGAAACTCGGAGACCATCTCTTGAGAAACATAGAAAAGAAAAGCCATTTAAAACCGGGAGAGGCAGAATTTCCACTCCTGAAAGAAAAATAGCTAAAAAGGAACCTAGCACAGTCTCCAGAGATGAAGTGAGAAGGAAAAAAGGTTCATTTCGCAATCACTTCTTTTAAAATGTTTTTGACTTAATTCATTATTGCTCTTTTGTAAAAGAAACTGCCTAACAGTGGTAGCTAATTATTCGTGAAATTTCGTTCTGTTTTGCTGCAAGTGTTTATTTTTTCCTGATGGTATGCTTTTTGTGTTTTCTTATTCATAGCGGTTTATAAGAAGGCTGAACTTGCTAAAAAAACAGAAGTTCAGGCCCACTCTCCCTCCAGGAAATTCATTTTAAAACCTGCTATCAAATATACTAGACCAACTCACCTCTCCTGTGTTAAGCGGAAAACAACAGGTGACTGTTCCGTTCTGCAATGTGGCTGGCAAACATAGACATGGATTTTTTTTTTTTTTTATCTCATTACCGTAGCAGCTTCTTCATTTTGTTTTTCCTCCAAGAATCTCAGTAGTCATGAACGATTTCACTATTAAGTGTCTTGTATCATTGTTCTTTTTTTTCCCTCCCTGCAGAAGAGGTCATGACCACCTGTTTCTTTCTCATGCTCAGACTTAACAGTGATTGTATCTTGGCATTGTGCTCTAATGTCACGTTCTGGGGATTCCTATTTTCATTCTGTGTGTTTGGGTAGACGATGGCGATGAATATAACCGTGGTATGCATTCTCATTATTTTGCTTATTTATCTCCTTCATGCTTAAACCCATACGTATTTGTCCTATTTTCTATATTGTTACTGCCAAATCTGTTACTGATGTTGATGAATTGATTGAAAACCACCAAGAATGCGTAGTGATTTTGAGATTGAAAATGAAAAGCTAATCTGGGGTAAAAATGTGGTTGAAAAATTACTTTGCTTTTGGATGAAAGGAAAAAAACGAAAATGAAATTGTTTGGTGATCTCATCAGATTTTATTCCTCATATCCAAAATTAGCAAGACTTTCAGTCTACTGCGCTATATCCGTTAGCTGACGTTTATTTCCTCGTTGAGATTTTGCTAAATGTGTTGGATCCAAACTGCTAAATTCTCCTATATAATTTAATATTCAAAATTCTAAGATAAAACTCCTTCCTTCTGAATGTCTTAGAACTTGGGTTTACTTCTGTTTCACTCCCTTCTTATTTTTCTGTCTTCTTCAAATATACTCGTTTTTTACTGTTAAAAAAAGTGGTGGAATGAAGGAGTGAAACGTTACGAATCATAATAAAAACCCATTCAAACATCTATAATGCAAACTCTGTTCCTAAGTTTCAGGGCAAACTATTTATTTTCAGTGTATAATTACATTAGGATAATCTTAATTTAAAATGTATTTTATTTTAGCGTTTATTAAGTGGCACACTTGCAGTCTGCAAAAGAAGATAGCAAATTGCTGAGCCAGAAAGGAATATTTTCCTTTCCATTATACATTAGAAGTGCCTTTATATAAATCTTTGGATCTTTAAAGGTTAAGAGCAGCATTAACCTTTGTAAGAAAAAGAAAGTCAAAGTAATTGATGGTTTTATAATAGCCACAAAAAATTCCAGATGTTGTGTATTTGTGTTCTTCATGTAAGAATCACCTCATGTGCTTTCCCTGAAGAATTAGTATCTAAGGCCGGATTTGAAAGTGGAAGGCTTGTTATTATACCTAAACCTTGATGACAAAGGTTCAGGATGAGGAGTTCCTCCAAGTTAAGAGTTAGGAATTAATGTGACATTTCTAAATCTTGTATCACATCTTAGTTCATTTCCATTAAACTTGGAATTTTTCTTCTAGTTAGACAAGGACTTGGGCGGGCGGAATCTCTTAGTTTGGGCATAAAAATTCCATACGCTACCTGAAAGGCTGAAAGAATATATCAGGATTTTGGAATTTCAGAGGAAATGTCAAATGGTTTGGTGAAGTACCTACATGTCATTGGTATTCAATTTACCACACTGAGAGTAAACTGCCTTTTTAATTGATTCATTAAAGGAAGTTTAGGATCTTTGGATTAAGTAGGGCCTTCCTTTTTTCTATTCGAATATTGAGATACTCATAGAGAAAGCATATTCCAAACATGAGCGTCATTGGCTTGAAGCAAACTATGTATGTCACGGAAATTTGAGATGTATCATAGAAATAGGGAGGGATCATATGTACTGCTTCTTAAAAAAAAAAACTCAGTTCCAAAATCTATGAGTAATCTTACTAGCCAGTCCTAAATAGCATATTGTAGCCAGTTCTAATTTTTTTGTTAGAGATGCGTATGGTATATGAAACCTTGTTGAAACTTATTCAGAGTGCTGATAAGGATAAGTATTTTTTTTCTGACGTTTTCTCTCTTATGAAAGAAAATTGAGGAGGAAATAAACACACAAGCTTGTGCCTTTCATTCTCTAAGCACAATTTTTATTTTTATTTTCATTTATTTATTTTTTGTGTGTGAGGAAGATCAGCCCTGAGCTAACATCTGTTACCAATCCTCCTCCTTTTTTTCCCTTTTTCTCTCCAAATCCCCAGTAGATAATTGTATGTCATAGTTGCACATCCTTCTAGTTGCTGTATGTGGGAGCCGCCTCAGCATGGCCGGAGAAGCGGTGTGTCAGTGCGCGCCCAGGATCTGAACCCAGGGCTGCCAGTAGGGTAGCGCGTGCGCACTTAACCGCTAAGCCACGGGGCCGGCCCTTAAGCACAATCTTTAAATAAGGATAGTTTTCCAAAACAAAGGATTGTTTTCAATCATAAGAGATTTTTAAGTCAGGTCAGGTAAGTCACAGACAGAAGATGTGCTGGAGATGATGGAGCTCAAAATCGAGACCAGAAGTATAAAACAGCAGCCAGAGAAACAGCAGTAACAGATGTGGCGCTAATTTCATCCAGGAGATGCATGTGCAGAACACGTTCTGCATCACTGGGCTTGAAGTCCTCTCGTGTTTTCTCTTCTTGACAAGCTGTTTTTCTTCCCTTCTCATGTGGTACGTTTCCCCTCAAACAAGTGTGTCCTTCATATTGTGAAATGAAGGGGTACAGAGGGAAAGGGGTTGGCTGACCAGGACAGTTTGAATATAAAATGCGGAAATATCTATAGATATGCAAATGGCTACATAAAAAGGGTTTGGGAATCTCCATGAACGCTCTTTTACATCATGCCAACCTTAGAAACCAATTTGTTCCCTTTTCCTTAAATTCTATGGCATTCAGATGCTATCCTGTGACTTCCATTCTAAAGGATCTATCCTCATGTAACAGTAATTTACAAGCACATTGGTAACGAATAGAAGATTATTGGTGTGCTCACCTGTGCTTGGTAAACACTGGGTTATATTGATTAGCACACGTTATAGTGGGAGCCACATGCTATCCTGTTATTATTCAGGTTTCTTCGGTTACTGAATTTGAGTCTCAAAATAAGCAAAATTCACTTTATATTAGTCTATTGACACAACTGAACATCCAAAAGGTTTTAAAAATGTGTTCATGTGGTTTTTAGCCACTAAGTTTGGGGTCGTTTGTATCTCCTCTTTCCAACAGCAGCGGGCGGTGAATCAACTCAGGCTCCCAGCATATTCAAACAGGCAAAGGACAAAGCCTCTGTAAGTACAATGACTTGTTTCTTGTTCTTCATTTGAAGTTCCCTTTGGTATTAGCGGCAACATTTTAATAACTTTAGATATAACTTAGACATTAGATGTTTACTCTTAAACATCATTTTACATCGTTCGCTCGCCCTGAGCGATTCTCGGTGGCCTTCAGGTGTGTCTTAACGTCTTCTGAAATGATGTGATGGTGGTCGGGGAGGCAGAGCTGGGACTGAGGCTGCCTCTTCATTAGTGAGACAAAAACATAGGGAACAGCGCGATGATCTGGCAAAAATGGGGAAGCCCAATTTATTTACTTTTCTTAGAATCAAGATAAACCATTATCATCTACACTAAACCATTTTCTAGTACATTTTCAGTGTTGTTATTACAAAATAAGAATATGAGAAAATTGAACAATGTAGATGAGCATAGTAAGTAAAAACATGTTATAATCCCCTTATCTAAGGATAACTACAGTTGCCGTTTTGATGTAAAATCTTAATTTCTTTCTACGCGTTTATAGGTTTAATAACAAAAATGGAAACAGTGTGTATCCATTTTTAATTAAATAGTAAACAGATTTCCATGTCATTAAACATTCTTGTACATCATTTTAATGACTACATAACCATATATTTTATTTATTTTCAGTGATACACTTAATCAGTTCCCTAGTATTTGACATTCAAACTATTTTTTTGTTATTTTAACAGTATTACTGTAGAAATCATTTTGGCTAAATCTATGAATGCATCTATATGCATTTCCTTAGGATAATTTTCTGGTAGTCAAATTGTTTCGAGAAGAAAGTCCATATTTAAAGTTTTTTCTACAGATTGTCAAATTGTCCTCCAGAAAGGTTACTGACTTACCTGTCCTCCAGCTGTGTCTGCGAGTGCCTGTGTTCACTGTTGTTAGTAGATACTCCTGTGGCTTTTCTATATTTGCCACGTTATGGAGATGAAATATCTTATTCTTTTAATTTGGTTGTATTAATGATGTTTAACTTCTTCATATGTTTAGAAATATTCTGTGTTTCTTCTTTTGTGAATTTTATTTTTTATACTATGAACCATATTTTTTAAACTTCCGAAAGACCAAAGCCAACACGAAGTATTGTACTGCTTTCTAATTGAAAGACAAATTAAAAAACTACTAATGAAATCCTAAAATTTAACAATAATTTGAATAATGTTAACTAGTAGTGTATCACAATGTTCTGGGTCTGAGCCATCATATATGATACGTAAATCACAGTTCTTTCCTGAGCTTTCTAAAAACTAGTAAGATTTTAAACTTCCACATTTTATTCATTGTGAAAAATAGGAATTCATTTCCAGTGACATCCAAGCCTTTTATATCATCTTGAACCCAAGGGTTTATGTTGATAAAAACATATATATATTTGACTTTTATATAAGTGTTTTCAGACATACTCTTGAAACATATGGCAAGCAATGGAATCTCTTTATTGCTTTGGTAAATACTAGTCTTTATTTTGATCACAGTGTGATTTCAAGATTTGTGTCTCTTCACCTCTGTTTCTGATGGGGAACTAGTGAGTTGTGGTGGTGAAGAGCATGGGTGTGAAATAGACCAGGTCCAAGTGTTGAATATTTATTAGCTATGTGATCTTTTTCTGCCTGTGTCTTAATTTTCGAAAAATAAGGGGAGGAGTAAAAATTCCTGTATCATAAGTTAGTTGTGAACATTAAGTATGGTCATTTTATAAAACAGTACACTGTGTGATGTCGAGAACATAATTTTTATTCAATAAACAGTGATAGCTTACTATTATTATTTGGAAGGTGGAAGTCTTTAGGATCAAATATAGAAAGTAAGTCTGAGTTTTCCCTTGTTAGGAAAAGAATTTTTAAGTGGACATTGTTTGAAGAACCTTTAGGAAATTTTTAAATCCCTTGGTCCTCAAGTAACTCAGCAGGAATTGGCATTCAATGCTTACACTTAGGACAGAAACCATATATGTCTTCTAGCACAAAACTAACTTTTTTCCTTGTAAATGCCGATCTCGTCTTTCTGAAGGAAAGAGATTAGGCCACCATTCTTTCTAACTTTTTCTCATTTAACATCCTCTTTTTCCCTTCTCTGTAACCTCATTCTCTTCCTATAAGTTTCCGAGAAGCCCAAGATTAACTCTTATTTATCTCTGATATTCAGTCCTTCCATCAGAACAGTTGTCTTTGATTTTTCATTTTATCTTGGTTGTGAACCTTCATTTCATTTGGGTTTTTCGTTTGTTTGTTTTATTTTGTTTTTGTTTTTAGCATGGGATTAGTAGTTGTCTTTCATAATTTGAGGCAATCCAGTGACTCCGTTTTTCTTTCCTATATCACACTTTTGAAATTCACTATTTTGTGGGTAGCATCAATCAAAAAGACTGACTTGTGCCGACCCAGTTACACTTCCCACTCAGGGTGCTGGGTCTGTAAAACAATAAGTGATCCCTGCAGGCTGTGAAGATGTATGCCTCTGTTGAAGTGGCTATGGTGGCTAAAGCTTCAGATAAAAAAAATCTCAGTTTCAACTGCTATTTTTGCAACAGCTAAATCATATTAATTATTTGAAGATAAAATCTCCTTGGCTTTGTCAAACTTGTCTGTATTTGTAACAGAGTCTCCCATGAGACATGTGCATACGAGCAGAGCTTTCTCCAAAAGCCGTACACATTCAACCCACTTACTTTTACTTGCCGTCAATCTCCTCGGGGATTATCAACCTCTTGGAATTAAGTCTTGTAATTTTTGTGGGCAATCTCTTCAGTGCTGACTTTCGTTTTTAGGATTTATCGCACATCATACAAAGTATAGTCCATGCATTAAAATGTTATTAATTCTGTGGTATAACTTGGTCCCCAGTATGCATTTTACTCATAAAATGAACTCAGTATCTATAAACTCTGCGATTTTCTGATGAAATCAATGTAGATAATCTGAAAATACGTTTTCTCAACTTTAAAAGAATATTTTCCATTATTAGGCCTTAAATATACCTTGTTCTAAAGTTTTTAAAATGTGATCAAGATATCAATTATATGTATACCTTAAGGGCTATGTTTGTTAAAGGAATAATTCCAACAGTCTCTCAAGATATTTTTCCAAATATGGTATCATTGTAAGACCTATGGATTAATCACAGACCTTATACATAGAATCCATAAAGAATATTTTAATCTATATTCTCATATATGAGTATTCTTAAGTTAGGTCCAGTTAACAAAAGACGTTCAGTGAGAATCTCTTGTTCCCAAATGTACATCTCTGTCATTGATTACAGCCATTTATCATGTGTTCTCGTTAAAAGTAGATGTTTAATTTCTCATATGTTTATACGTTTTTTCTTTATTTTCCTTTTGCTTCATAGTTTGGTTTATTTTGTGTTTTTGTTTGCTTTCTTTCATGGCTAGAGTTCTACCTTGTCAAAGATTCCTGCCTTACAGGGTAGCACAAAGTCCCCAAGACACAGCCCAGCCTGCCCTAGCACCACTAAAAGGGCTACATTTTCTGACGGTGTTTTAATCCGGCCCACCTCAGAGGGCTCCACAGACTGCTTGGCATACTCAGAATCAGGGGACAAGGTAAGGCAGGGGTCAGTCCAGGTGCAGAAAGGAAGGGAACAGGGCACAAGCCGGTAAACGTGTGAAAGCAGAGAATTTAAATTCCAAGGTGTTTGACATATAAACAATAGACCTGATTAAAAACAAATACAAATTGAAAGTTTCAATAGTTGTGAACAGTCTCATCATTTAAAAAAAGAGAAAATGTCTTTTTTAGCTGTACCATTCATAATTAATTATTTATTTGATAGTTAATAAAATTTCAATACAAATGAAATATATGCTATGTAATATTACAGGTAGCATAATACCATATACTCTAATAAGAACAGGTTACATTATATATAATAGATCATTTGGACTCAGCATCAGACACAGCAGGATTTAAGCTACCTCTGCTGCCTACCAACTCAGTGACCTTGAAAAAATTACATAAACTGATTAAACCTGTTTCCTCAGCTATAAAATGCATATAATGTTTTGTGGTAAGAATTAAATCATAAATAGATGTAAAGTGCTTAGAGTTCCTGGCACAGAAATGCACAGTATACGGTAGTGGTCCTTGTTAAATATTATGCATACAATGCCATACTGCCCGTCCTTTCTGGTTCATAAATTATCATGTAATGAAGATTTTTCAGTAAAATTATTAATTTACTGGCGATTACTTGAGTAAATTCATTTTACCCATGTTATCATTTAGAATTTGAATTTCACAATCAATTATTAGCACTAACTCCAAAATAATATATTTTTATAAAACCTTTAGGCAGAGAGGAACTTTTTCTAAAAGTGTTGAAGTAGAAACACGTGTAAGTATATGAAGTTCAGTAATGTGTATTAGAAGAAATTCATCTATCTGCACAGGAGGCAAAACAGCACGAGCAGTGTAATCACTTTGTAGAATTAGAGTAAAGAGTCACAAGAACCCGTTGTTCTTCTGTTTTTCCTAATCAGGATGGAGTACCCAGGAGCCCGGAAAAGCGCTCTTCTCTGCCGAGACCTTCCTCCATTCTCCCTCCTCGCCGAGGTGGGTCAGGAGACAGAGAGGAAAATTCCTTTTCTCTCAACAGTTCTATCTCCTCTTCAGCACGGCGGACCACTAGTAGGTTTATTTTGGTTTGGCTGCTTTTTCAATCGTTTTTAAAAAAATCCTTAAGTGGAGTAGAGCTTATAACGTATTTATATTTGACATTTCCAAATAAAACATGCATTAAAAACAGATTATATTTGTCCTAAGAATCAGAAAATCCAGACTATCAATGGGTCCAAAACAGCTGTTTGAGTCAAAACGATTGATGGAGAAATGAGTAGTTACTGCCTTATTATCCATTAAATAGGACTAAAATAAAGTTATTTTTCTCAGAATATATTTTTTTCTCTTCTTTCACATTTAGAGTAAAAAGGAAAATTCAGAAGAAGTAATTAGTAGAGAAAACCAATAGTCAGGGATTTTTAAAATATATATCTATATAAGCTTAACCCTTGTTAGAATTCCAAGTCCTAAAATCTAACTAGAAAGTCAACAGTCAAAACCTCAGATCTTGCTCAGTTTACTAAGAATTTGCATTCCAACGAGGCTGTAAACATAACATGTTCTGTGCAGTAGCTTCAATTTCTTTTGATTGATGGCCCATAAAGCACTGGTTGGCAATTATCACAGTTTATATGAGAATATAGAATGTTCCAATCAGTACTCACTTATATGTTGTGTTGCTACCAAGAAATCTAGTAATTCAAGTTATTTTCATAAATATGTTTATATTACAACAAAAATAGCTACCATTTATTGAGCACATATAGATGCTAAAATCTTTTATTTTTTTGTGGAAGATTGGCCCTATGCTAACATCTGTTGCCAATCTTCCTCTTTTTATTTTTCTGTCTTCCAAAGCCCCAGTACATAGTTGTGTATCATAGTTATAGAGTTGTTGCTCTTCTATGTGGGATGCCGCCTCAGCATGGCTTGATGAGTGGTGAGTAGGTCCCCACCCAGGATCCCAACCAGTGAACTCTGGGCCGCCGAAGCGGAAAATGCGAACTTAACCGCTACCGGGCCAGCCCCAGATGCTAAAACCTTAAGACATGTTTTTCGCTCAATTTAATTAACAGTGCTAATAGTTAGGTATTAATAATCTCATTAAGTCTATTGATGAGAAAATTGACCTTTTAGAGAGGGTAACAAGTCCAATGCTACACAGCTAGTAGGTGGTTCAGTTTGATTTTCAGGCCGCTGATGACTTCATAACCTGCCCTCTTAATGTCTTTATATTTATTTGGAAGAAATAGTACTAGAGAACTGCTCTGTAGAATTACTTAGAGAATGGTATCTCTGTCATTGAAAATCCATTACAAAATGGTGGAAATTGCTACGACTATCACATCATAGTTGATTTCACCACTTATTTTTTAAATATTTAATAATAATTGGCGCACTTCGAATGTGACTATTTTGTATGATAGTTAAACAGCGTTTTTGCCTACAGTGAAAGTGTTCATTATAATTAGAGCAATTGTGCTCTACACCATTTGGTTTCATGAAGCATTAACATCTTTTGAAATATGTGCTTCAAACACTTTGAAATCACTAAAACTCTTTTTTACCTTCGCAAAAATAAAGTATTCAAATGAACTAGCAAGGAAAGCATTTAAGAGTTAGTAATCTCCAGAGAAAAGACTTGAACTCCAAATGTCTGGAGTTGGAATTGGGCATCAGCAATAACCCCAGCGATGCTGAGACAAGACAGAGGCAACAAGTGCTCCCCAGAGGCACACCTTGAATTGTGCTTGTATTTGTTGCTATGGAAGCAAAATGGCACTTTTCTCCATCAATCCACATCTTCAAGCCACTGTGCTCTGCCTTTTAAAATGTGTCCATATATAAACTGCTTTTTATGTTCTGAGACAATTCTATTTTGACTTTCTAACTTTACTTGTGTTCGTAAGCATATTGCATTATATTATTTGGTAATGAACATAACTGATACTCTGATAATCGGAGGACGCAGGATCTGTGTTTTCTCTACATAGCAATAGCTAAAAGGCCTTGGGACAATTAGCAGAGCAAGCAGTTTGCCTCTTCCCATTTGCCTGTCATCTCCTTCAATGCACACAGGAATGTTCTGGCATTTTGTACAGCTGTTGAAAAGATTTGAAAGAAAATGCTATGCAGGGAGTTCATTTAGCCCAAAAGGAGGGAAAGACATTGTCATTGAAGAGTTGACAAGATAAATAAGAACATAGTTTAATAAAGTAACTTGTAAATATTTTTTAATTTATTTAATTTATTTAGTATCTTAGATTTAACTTTTTTATTCAGAACAAATAGAAAACACTCAAATTTGTCATTTTGATGACTAGAACATAATTCATTACAATAAAAATGGATCATATCTATGGAACAGCAGTGTTACGAGCTTAATACTTGTGGTTTTTCCTTATTCTCTGGATGTAACACAAAACCTTCATCCTTTACTTTTCCAAAGCTTAAATCTGTATTCTAAGAGTATAGAAATAATTCTTACTTTTAAAAAATTATATTTCTTTTGGTAAAAATTGTTATGCACATCCAAAATATTGCTTCAGCTCAGTCTCCGTGAAGTAAAAATCACCTCAGCACACTTTGATAAATTCTGAATCAAACTCATACCATTAAAAAAGAAAGTACGTTGAACTGCGACAGTGTGCAGCCCCCATGAGAGCACCAGTGCTGGGTACAGTGGCAAATAATACTGAGAAGATTCCTCTCCCCAAATACCTGAGCTCCTCAAAGGTGATGAAGTCATGAAGAAAACATTTGAGGAAGAAATAAGGTTTCTGAAGAGATTTTTCAGAAAGACGGTGACTGATTCAAGCCTATGTCAAAGACTCAGTCCATGAACAAAATCTGTAGCAAGGAAGCTGCAGAAAGCCAAGTTAGGTGTGACTGTATCATCCTGGCCTTGAAATGTCATTTTTGTGGAAAGCAATAAAAATCACAGAAGGTACACTAATTTATCACTATATTCTTCTCGTATCCTGTTTCACATTGTCACTTGAAAAGTCCACCTTATGTTAAAAGATGAAAAGAACACGGGGCAACTTTGCCTTGATGTGTGAAAACTGTTCACTGAAAGAGAAAGTAAAATCGTTCTGTGTTTCTCCAGGAGACTGAACCTAGACCATTGGATAGATTTACTTTGTCTGTAGATGACAGTTATCTCAGAAGCTCTCTTGAGCTCACTGCTTGTAATAGTTAAGCAAAGAATAATTGCCCCCCTTCTTAGGAAGAACTTTCTGCACTGATGATCAGTTGCATTAGATGACTCAAGATCCATTTCACTCCATCGATTTTACAATTAATGAGTTATATCTTTATCCTCTACAAAATTTCTAGAAAATTCATTGATTTTACAAAGTATACATATTCAGTGGAAAAAAATAAAAATCATGCCCTTCTATAAAATACCAAAAAAAGAGGTGAAAGAATGTTTATAATAAATGTAAACAATGTAAATAAGTGTTCTATTATTGGAATAGGTGTATTATTTTAATAGAAAAGATTTTTAGAGTTAATAGAAAGTTAAAACAAATAAGAAGCTAAATATCACATCTGGCTTAGATTTAGTATCATCTGGATAAATGAGCCTCAATGTCCTCATTTTTAAATTAGAAATAATAAGAGCTGCCTCTAACTATTGTATGTGTTTGGTTATCAAATGTTTGGTATTCACAAAAGTGCTTTGAAATCTGTCAAGTGTTGTACTCTTATTTATGTCATTATTCTTTTAAAAAAGCATTTGAATGGCATTCAAAAACACTTTTAAAAAAATAATAAGAGAGAAACATAGTGTAGGAAAATGGGGAGAAAGGAGTTAAATGATCAAACAAGGCTAAAGTCAAGTTGAGGCAAAGAAATGCCCTTCACAATATCCTGTATAATTGACAGGGATTACTGATTTGATTTCAAACTGCCAAACTAGTAATGAAGGTAGAGGAGAAGACACAATCAGGTACAAGATTCACTGTGAATATATTGTTAAAACATCCTACTTTTCTAAGGAGAGAAATAGACTTTTTTTTTTAGTATTAAGATCTGAGACGAATTTCCTTATAAAGGAAATGCCTGATATTGTAGAACAACGTATGACATAATTGAATGGCTTTCAATAAACGCATTTGCAACTCACAGTGCTCCTCCCTATAAGCTGAGGGAGTAACATGGAAACGCAATCCAATAAATAACCTTCTATGCAGGCCAAAATTCTGTAATTAAATACACAGTTTTATGTTGTATGTCCACTTGGATCTTGGAATGAGATACAAAGAATAGTGATACCACAGAGGAATGAATGGTCTGCATGTCATTCAAGGAATCTTCAGTAAATATGAGCCCACACAGAACATTAAGTGCAGACTCTCTGCAGCTAAAGGCAGATCCGTATGCTTTAATGATCACACAAGTAGAAAATAGCATTTGACACATTCATAATGAGAATTAAGAAGAAGAAATCAGGAAAGCCCAAGTTTTATCCTTGCATTGACAGCAATGCATGCTCAAAAAAAATGTCAGCAGGTTATGAGCCTAAAAAAAGGAGGCTGTCACCTTTTTGAGCATTGGTGTAATCCATAAATATTCTAAAGGCTTTAGAAATGTGATGTATTATGAGTTCTCACACTCTATGGGAAGACGGATGCCTTGAGGAGAACTTGCTGATGTTATGGTTTTGTTTGTTTATGTAGGGTCAGAGCCAATTCGCAGAGCAGGAAAAAGTGGCACTTCGACCCCCACTACCCCTGGATCAACCGCCATCACTCCTGGCACCCCACCTAGCTATTCTTCACGCACACCAGGCACTCCTGGAACCCCTAGCTATCCCAGGACCCCTCACACACCAGGAACCCCCAAATCTGCCATCTTGGTGCCGGGTGAGAAGAAAGTTGCTATCATACGTACTCCTCCCAAATCTCCCGCTACTCCCAAGCAGCTTCGGCTTATTAACCAACCACTGCCAGACCTGAAGAACGTCAAATCCAAAATCGGCTCAACAGACAACATCAAATACCAGCCTAAAGGGGGCCAGGTAAGAATGACATGAACATATATTTGCTGCCAGAAGTAAAATCCCACTACTTGATATGTTGCCTTCCTCATATTATACGCTAGCACTTCTTCCAATGAAAGGAAGGTGGAGATATTAAAGAGTTACTGGTTAAGATTCATTGCTAAGAGTTTAAACCTTGTCTGAGAAAGCTAGCTCATAAAATATGGTGACAATCACATGACATGTCCATTCCTTCTGATTATCATTAGCTAAAAATTGTGTTAATCCATGTAGGAGAATCTTTCAGTTGACCGCCTAACAGATCTTTTCTGAATATATCTCTATTGCCTTGTGGATTTTAATTAAGAGATTAAAGTTACATTTCTGATATGATTTTGAGAGTTCTATTTTAGATCCTGACTGTGGGCTCATTTGACTGTCTTTTAGTGATTCCACTTTTATCTCCTTCCTTCTTCCCCAAGGATTTCCTATGATGTCTTCTACCGTTTCCCCAAGTCATTCCAAAGTCAAGGCATGGTTCACCAAGTTTCTTCTCTGGCTGCTATTGCCTAAACGTTGCACAGGGTACATATTCATGAACAACATTCATTCGTCAACATCATGTTGATAATAAATATTTCTGTATGGTTCTAATGAATAAAATTGTTGTATTGGAACTTCCATTTAAGATTAACACCTTTGACTAGAGTTATTAGTAAATCTTCAGAGCAAATATTCACATCTTTCCAGCCGGGAGCTTGGAGTTCCGCCTTGACCTGAGTGAACCCTGCTTACACACTATATGTTTGGACAAAGCAATTAGCCTGGAAGGAGAGAATACAAATATCATTTAATGTTTCCCTTGTGATCTACCCATGGGTAGTTCGACTTTTCTTGTCATTGAAGAGATAAAACACCCGTCCTTGAAAGAAAGAAAGCAAAAATTTCCTTTGTACGTGAACAAGCTTGAAATGCCCTTTCAATATCTGAAGACAACTTTTCTTTTTAACCTCAATATTCTTTTCTGTCACTCTTTTTCTTGTCTCTTATATTGTCTGCTACTGATTTCTGGTATCCCTCCTTCATGCCAAAGAAAATTTTCAGGCAGGTTTAGAAGAAAGATCTTGCCAAAATATGAGGCTATCAAGGACTCCTACTTACTGTTGAAACAAAAATTCAATGTTGCTTCTTCCTTTAGCGAAAAACCTCTTTGCTGTCTCATTGTGATTCTGTTTAAGGAAGCCCAAGGAACTAAGAAAGATCAACCTAAGGAGGGAGGGAGGACTCAATGTGCCCTTTTCAGAACAACTATAACATTCTATGATAATATACTCATAGAAAGATGCTTTTTCATAGAAAGGTGTTATTAAAATTATGGGCTACAAGAAACCTTTTTCAAGCCAAAAAAAAAAAGCATTCTACCAAATTTAAGCCTATAATTCCAAAAGTCTCGTACTATTCTAGCGTTCATCAGTTATGTACATCCAAGAGAGAGAAATATTTGGGACCTTTTAAATATATCCAAATGTCATTATTTTTATATTTATACATAAATAATTTAAAAGAGTAACTTGAATAAAATCAATTTAGTACCACTTTGAAAGTTTATCATTTTAGCCTTTGGTGAGATATCTCTTAAAATAGAGTAATTATTATATGTATTTAAAATCAATTCTCTTTTTGTAAATATCCCCGTGTCCCAGTATTCTCCTTAACTAAATGTGTGACTATCCTGGAAAATATTGATACTTAAAAGAATCTGTTTCCTCTTAGAATGACAAGGGAATATAAATTGTCTATAAGATATTTTATTGAAACTAAAAAGAAAATTTAATGAAAGGGGAATAATTATTGATATAATTTGACATAGAAATTTTACAATATATGATTTTGTTCAAAGGAGTCCTCAAGGTAGAGAGGCCAAAAGAGTGGTTTTAGCCTCAGCTTTGCCAGAATCACTAAAGTTAAACCAATCTAAAAAATATGAAGACTGATTTGTTTCCTGTTTCTGCTTCTTTATCATATCTGGTTGTGACTATTTCTATGTCTAATTTTAACTGACTTCTACTATGTTTGGTAATTCATAAATTGATATAAAGAAGTCCTACTCTTTTGAGTTGAAGTAACACTGCCCCGGAGATTATGGTAATTAAGGACTAGTAAGGACATATGATGCAAAAATTACAGACAGAACAAAAATAGCCTCAAAATCACAGTGTCGTTTAAGAAAAATCTCTTCTTTCATAAGACAAGTGTTAACCTGCTGCAAAATTATCCTATCACTGCCTCAGATGACTTGGAAAAAATCCACAACAGTGGAGTTACGAAGTGACTTTTGTTGGAGAAGCAGGAGGTATTCCGTTACAAGATAGGGAACAGATGGAAGGAAGATACTTGCCTTCTATCTCGTGATAGATGGTGTCAGTGCATTTAAAGTGGAGGAAGAAATGAATTGGGACATTGAGATGCACTGCAGTTGAACTGTCTTTGTGGAAGAAATATATCACTCAATACTTTAACACTGTCCCCTTAAAAGCCTCCTTGGGGGCCGGGCTCGTGGCTGAGTGGTTCAAGTTCTGCACGCTCCACTTGGGCAGCCCGGGTTCGCGGGTCTGGTTCCCGAGCGCAGACCATGTTGTGGCAGCATCCCACATACAAAATAGAAGAACATTGGTACAGATGTTAGCTCAGGGCTAATCTTCCTCAAGCAAAAAAAGAAAAAGAGGAAGATTGCCAATGGATGTTAACTCAGGGTGAGTCTTCCTCACCAAAAAAAAAAAAAAAAAAAAGCTTCCTTGCAGTGTATGGTCTTCTCAAATACAGGGAGCGAGGAGAGATTCTTTTTCTACACGTTAAACTGGAAGTTTTGACTGGATTGTTAGAGTTCCACTTGCTAGAATGACGAGGAGATACTTTGATGTTAAAGTTTCTTAGAAATTATCAAAATGATGTACTAAAGACCCTGTTTTCTGTTTTGTTTTGTTTTTTTTCTGTTTTGTTTTGTGAGGAAGATCGGCCCTGAGCTAACATCTGCCAGTCCTCCTCTTTTTGCTGATGAAGACTGGCCCTGGGCTAACATCCATGCCCATCTTCCTCCACTTTATATGGGACGCCGCCACAGCATGGCTTGACAAGCAGTGTGTAGGTGCGCACCCGGGATCCGAACTGGTGAACCCCGGGCCACCGCAGCGGAGCGCGCGCACTTGCGCCACCGGGCCGGCCCCCAAGACCCTTGTTTTCTGATTAAGAATTCATAAATACACACTGTTGGGGAAATTGAAGCCACTGGCTTGTTGTTCCCAATTGGAATTTGATTATCCTAGGATATTTGAATGGACAGTGCCCAACCCAGAATCATTGAAGAGGACAGGACGATGCTGATACTTTCTGTAGGAGCCTGTAGGTATTGAGAAATATGTGGTCTGTAGGTATTGAGAAAAAGAGTCACACAATTCTTATTCATAAAAATGGGAGTAAATTTGTAAATGTAACCTTAATTTTTCTGCACAGGCTCTATTGTTATAAAATTTGGAGTGGTGAGATTGTATATAAATGATTTAATTTTAAAAGCTTTCTTATTGTTGTTTTAAAGTTTGTGCAATCACTAAGAATCGGGAGAAGAAACACATAAAAAAAGATATATGTATCGGAAATTCAGCAGCTTTCTAAACTGGGAAGCCTTATTATTTGCCCCAGTTTGAACATTGATCCCTCTTCCACACGTATAGGGTTTCTGCTTATGGCCATTATCTCTTCTGTTCAAGTCCCAACTTTCTGTTGGCAAAGAGGCTCAATTCAGTGGCTCAGTTCAGCGAGGCAAATCAATGCCTAATGGAATAGATAAGCTAGCTGAAGATATGAGGAGCTGTACAGAAAGCAATAGAGTTAATCTTTTCAGCTAAAACATAAATACATTCTACTGGAAAGAACATATGCAATCCCGGATTCACTGTAGATGGTGAGCTTGGTCAATTTAACTCAAGGTGTAAGTAAGACTTTCTTATTAATTTGGAACTATCTCAGTGTACTTAGCTCCCTAACCTACATTAGTGTAAATATAAATTTTAGAATAAATAATGTTACCTTTTTAAGAACATAGCTGCTTGATTTAAACAAAGGTGGGAAAATAAACGATTTCTCTACGTGAATGGCATAAAAGAATTAGGCAACAACTCAGTAAATGGTACTTTTTACCTTTTCTATCTATAGATCAGGTTTTTTATAGGCACTTGGACTTATATGGAATACTCCTGCGTGTTTTGACAGGTTTCCTGTTTTTTCCTCCACCAGGCTTATGAAGACTCATATACAAAGCACAATTTTTGTACCCTTGTGATAGTTGAAAGTTCCTAATGAGGTGGTTTCCCAGAGGCTGTTTCCATTTACAGCTTGATGGATAGGGTGGTGGGTGGATCATGGTCTCTGCAAGCTGGTCTTGATGGGTTTGATTGACTGTCTTGTGAATTACATACTTCTACTTCATTCGTGGGCAGTCCGTCATTTTCAGGTCAGCTGGGCTAACGATGGTGGCTTCTTCAAGCCAAGACACTCCTGTTCGAGGAAAGAACAGTACTCGTGTTTTATAGAAAGAATCTTTTAGGATTTGTCAGCTATATACTTTCGCAATCAGTGTTGCCCTGGCGTCTTTTTAAAAAATTTATTTAGATAGATCCATTAGACTAGAACCTGTGAAGTATTTCTTTACATTCTAGAATTAAATTTCTCAGTTCTATATGGATCCATTGAATTAAGGAACATTGGAGGCCAGAGGTATTCAGCTCCTTATAGCCCAACTTTCACATTTTCACAAAATAAGAAACAAAAGTTCTCACATTACCCACATCTTATGTATAAGACTTCTAATATCATTCTTTAATGGCTGAGCTATAAAGTCAGGTTCTATAACTTTGTATTTAATGAATAATCACTTGTCTACAAAGTATACAATTTTATATACCTTAGTCTTTTTTTGTTCACTTTAACTTTCATCACACAACATGAAAATGGTAATTTTATTTAACATTCCCTTCCACGCCAAG